TACATCGATAAGTGCAAACGATTTTCCCGTTATGTGAAACTTTAAGCATCAAATCGAGTCTGAGCCCTCAATTGCCAGAGACTCCATATCTTTCTAAGGCCCATTGCCTAGTTTAGAAAAACTAAATAAATAAATTAAATAATAAACATTTGAGCCACTTAATCGTTCTTTCTACGAATCGCCACTTATCGATAAATCTAAACAAGTGCTAAGTGCTTAAAAGCAAAATTTTATCAGGTGGAAAAAACGAGTATTTTTCCGGTAGCTTGAAACACATTTCCCGTTGACTTTGCCAAGTCGACTCAAGTTACTTGTTTATTACTTTGCGAATTTAATTATTTTTATAGAATATTTAAGAAAAAAATAACAATAATAAAATTCCCGTATTAAGTGCAAACCTGCCAGAGCAACTTTTATGCAAATTAACAAACACACACATATACACACACACGCGTACGTACACTTAAAACACGCCGGCAATTTGCCACAAATGTCGAAATGTCACACACGTTGACAGAGGAACTTTTTATTATTTTTTTTAATTTATTTTTTGCAAATATTTTTTTTTTATTCCTTCCTTTTCCATTACCTCCTCTAGCAATTCTTATCAAACAACGCATAGCAATTCTGTGTCGCATTTAATTAAAATCTCCCATTAAAATTTGCGAAACGAGCTGAAAAACAGCAGCAACAGCAACAACAGCACGAAGAAAAAAGTAACGAGTGGTCTCAATGAAAACTGACTGAGTGACCGACTGACTGATCGTTCGTTGTGCTCATACTAGTTGGTTGATTGTTTTCGAGGGCTAGACGTATGTATGTATGTATATTGGAGCACCTTTTCATTACCCCACTAACGCAGCTATGTAGCTATGTATTGGCAGTTTGAGTGGCACTGAGGCAGTTAGTTAACTGGTCGACTCGCTACTTGCACAAGCCGTTCAAGCGAATTTCAATCACGCATTTGGGACCCCCACTGTGTGTGACAAGCCTCAACTTTTTGCTGATCGCTGTCTTTTACTAATATTTGTTTCCTTTATAAAAAAAAAAAAAAAAAAAAAAAAACAAAAAAAAAACAAAAAAAAAATACTAAAAAAAGCATGAAAAAAACTATAAAAAAAATGAAAAAAAAATGGGTAAAATAAATTAATTGAATAATTTACCAAAAAAAAAAAAAAAAACAAACAAAAAAACGAGGTTAAAGTCGAAAATTATAACTGCCAAAATAAAATAAAATAAAAAAAAAAAAAAAAAAACAAACAAAAAAACGAGGTTAAAGTCGAAAATTATAACTGCCGCAGGAGCGGAACTATATACTTAAATTAAATTAAAAAATAGGTCTTTGTGATAAAAAAATTAAATAAAGGAATATTTTCATGCAGACCTAATGAGAGTGAAGTTCTTCAACGTATTTATTAAGCCACGACCGGAAAATGTGATCAAAGATATCATTCATGAGCTCCTGAAACATCGTTAAAGTTTCCGGAAATTGTTGGCCCACAATACCGGCCGTCTACGACGGTTGTTTTCGCGCAAACGCCTCAAAACGCTCAAACAAAACTCTTTATTGACCGTCTGCCTCGTTGGAAGGAATTCATGACGAACTAAACTGCGAACATCGAATAGAAAAACAATTTACGGAAATTTTCTGGTCTTAATGTATACGGTTATCTCCATATTCATGTCTCTATTACTACAAATAAGTGTACACCTCAAGAAGCTTATATCGACTCGGAAAACTACATAGTCATAGCAAATAATAACCGTAAAAAACGCCCCGAAAAATTATTTTTTTCAACAACAACAAAGGATTGAGAATTGTTGCACCACGGCGAAGAGAGACGTACTGAGAGTTGAATAGAGAAATGAGATGCATTTACAAACAGAGAGAGGCCGAAAACTTGAGTGCGCAGAGATTGTGAATCTGGTCGACACAGGAAATGTTCCACAAAACGACTTACAGATAATCTCAAGCCTGGCGCATAAACTTGTAGAAACGACACGAAAGGTACTATAGTTACCGACACACTAATTTCCGATACTCTAAACATACTGAGTTTATATGCACTACACAAAATGCAGTTGAAGGTCCATTGGCTTACCTACTGAGCTATTCAAATATGGCGACGAAGGGCTGACAATTCGGTTGGACGAAAGCATTGCAAGAGTATACTGTGCTGGGCACTGAATTCTACAGTTTTCGCCAATTACCATCTGGTAATCAAGCATATGAGGTTTATCAAGCCGCGCGTCTAGATTACCACGACATTTTTAACAGTCATAGCTTTGAAGTAGTATAAAATTTCGTCTTTCAATGAAGCGCAGCATTAACTCCAATATTGATATCTGTCCCAAAATTCAATACAAAGTCATGCAGGATAGTTTGAATTGCGCAGGCCATCGCAGAGTAAAGTTCACACCTGAGGGGCAAGGAATGAGCTCTACAAGTTACTTATCAAGCCACATATTCTCTTATTGTGTACATAGAAGCTTGAACGTTCAAAACTCCGAAGGAGTCGGCATTAGAAGTTTTCGAATGAAAAGTTTTATAGATATTTTGATATCAGAGGAATACTGTGGACAATGTATTAATGACCTGCACGAAGTTTTCGCGTCATTAATATAAAAGTATGTTAGTTCAACGAAGGAAACTGCGAAAGAGGAGAGATGACCTTTGGTTCTTTGCTGGATGGATGATTTATATACTTGGTGTCTCCACGACAAAGTAGAAGAAAAATTTTAATTTCAAGAAAAGACTCCTAGAACTCAGGTTATGATGGAATTGAATAAAACAGAATATTTTGAATTCCATTTTGTTTTAAATTAATCTGAGAACTTTTAAACTCTCCCTTGCTTGGACAAATTTAAATTTTTGAAGGTAGTAAATAAAAGATTATTAACAAAGTTAAATATGCCTTTGTTAGTACAAATTTGCTTGGCACGTGTCCATATTTAATTAAAAATAAAATAAAATTAAAATATTGAAAAAAATGAAATACATTTGTAAGAAACCCATGTCGCTAAAAAAAGAAACCTTAAACATGTTTTTTCAAATATTTTCGTTAAGGTTATGAACAATAATATTTTAATTGCTTCACAAAAGCCCAGCAGATAAATTTTCAGATAATAATTTGTGAACATTAATCTTTTTGTGTATTACTTTTTTGCTTTTTCGTTTTGTTACAAACATTTTTGTAGCTCTACTCCATATCAATATATTTTTTTTATCAATTATTGCCGTTGTTATATATTATATTACAACTATTGTAGCCTGTCACTTTTCTTGTTCTTATCTTAATACTTTTACTGCTTCATTTGCTGCTGTCGTCGAAGTTTATGAGATTTTTTCTCGAAATATAATTTTTCTTCTTTTTTCATATTTTTGTCCATACGCTCACTCGTTACTTTGCTACAAAGTCAAAGCGGCTGAAATTGACGCTGAAAAATCTCAAAGGTGGGTGTTTAGAGATTTGCATTTAAAATTAACCTATTCAGTTAACTTGCTCTCAATGTTGTTGTTGTTGTAGTCGCTTGTTTCGCTAGCAATAGTGTATGCATATATTTGAAATATTTTTTTTTTTTCTAAAGCTGAAACTGTATTTTAAGCTGCCTGCTCAGTGCGCTGTTATGGAATTTTCGGTCGTATATATATGTATATATATACATACACACGATAATCCATTTTACGGTTTCGAAAATAAATGTAAATAAAATGCTTTTAAAATAGAATTTTCACGAAATTCCACTGAAATGCTTCAATTTTAACTGAAACAAAACATGTTTGGTTTTCATCACCATTTTTGTTGTAGGCTTTAATAATTTGCACGCATTGGTAAGCAATCTATTTTCATAAATGTATGACTATTAACTGAAACAAATCATGTTTGGTTTTAATTACCATTTTTATTGTAGATCTTAACAATCTGAACGCATTGTTAAGCGATTTATTTTCATAAATGTCTGACTATTAACTGAAACAAAACATGTTTGGTTTTAATTACCATTTTTGTTGTAGATTTCAACAATCCGAACGCATTGTTAAGCAATTTATTTTCATAAATGCATGAATTTTAACTCAAACAAAACATGTTTGGTTTTATTTACCATTTTAGATGCAGATTTTAATAATTTGCACGCATTGGTAAGCAATCTATTTTCATAAATGTATGACTATTAACTGAAACAAATCATGTTTGGTTTTAATTACCATTTTTGTTGTAGATCTTAACAATCTGAACGCATTGTTAAGCGATTTATTTTCATAAATGTCTGATTATTAACTGAAACAAAACATGTTTGGTTTTATTTACCAATTTTGTTGTAGATTTTAATCATTTTAACGAATTATTATGCGATTTATTTTCATAAATTTAACTGAAACAAAACATGTTTGGTTTCACAGTTCCGTTTGGCATAAAGCAAAATACAGCCCTGTAATTTTTGAAACCACGAAATGAGTAACCCTTCATATATATAATTTTTAATTTATGTTCTTGTGTTTTTTTTTTCAACTTTTTCGTTTTGCTCTAAGCCAAAGTTCACTCTTGGAGCGTTTAAGCTTGCCTTTGGTTTTTCGTAGCTTATTATAATTGCAAATATAATTCCGCTTCATTTTTTATCGTTTTCTTTTTTATTTTTGATTTTGTTTTACATTTTATTACTTTTTCTCTATGGAACTGAATTTTTTTGCTTTGGGTTTTCCAGCAAGCGCTAAGCATTTCTCACTTTTAACGGTTTCGCGCTAAATAATTTACTGTTTTTTATGGGTTTTAGGAGACACATTTCTTATTTAAAGTCGAGATAAAATGGCAATAAAATTCGGTTGTGGTTTTTTTCTAAGCAGATAAAACATTTTTTTTTTTGCTAAAAGTTTCTGTTGACTAATTCTGTTATTGTTTATAAGGAAAGCTTTTGATTTTTTTTTTGGATATTTATATTTTTTTAAACGAATGTTTGATGATTTCTTGAGTGGGTGTAGAGAAGGGATCATTTTTAGGATATTTAAAATTATAACAAAATATTAAACTTTTTTTGAGCAGTCAAAATTCGTTGGCTTGACAACTTAATCTTAAACAAACTTGTTTTTTTGGGAAGTCCCGGGCTTTTTGGGCATTTCTTCTTTTAACGGTACCAGTCAACTTACCTAAAATGAAAAGAAAGAAAATTTTGAATTAATAATTATTTCAGGATTGTATTTAAATTACGTACTTATATAATATATTAATAATTATATTTTTTTTGTATATTTTAACTATTTTTAAAAACATATTTATAATTTATTTTATTGTTCGAAAAAATTTATAAAATTAGTACTTTAATGTGTTTTCTAATAAATATTCATACTTAACAATGTTTTTCAAAAATTATTGTAATATATGCTTCCAACAATTTTCAAACTGAAAAGTAAATTGTAGTACTAAAATGTTCATATTTTAATTAGTACTTCTTTACTAAACATAACAGACTTCGCTGCCATTTTTATAACGATAAATAATATGTATGAATGTATATATCAACTGTAATCAGATTCAAATCAATACAACTAATTAACGAACGTAAAACCACTAATTGCCAAAGCTGCAGTGACGTAGCAGAAAATATACAAAAAAGTATTGGAGCAAAACAAAACAAATAACAACCACAATATTGCCTAAAACAATCAGCAAATCAAACTCATCTATTGTATGTTATGATTATACGAAAATTAGTTACGCTTAGATAAATTAACATTTAGTCTGCGTAAATGCAAAAAAATTAATTAACAAAACGTTATCTGCATAAGAGATAGATATTTTGCAGACTAACATTATTAAAAAAAATAAATATAACAAGATCGGAAAGTATTTTTTTTGTATATTTTTTTTTTTACTTTTTTCCAATTAATTAAGCAATTTAGAAGCGTCTGGATAGTTTCGGAGCCAGCTTTAAATATTTGGAATTTTTAATATACCGCCGCTGATAAAATACTAGCTAAATTACCTTGAAAATACAGTACGTTATAAAATATTATTATTTTAAGTTTCAATTTTTTTTTTCCACATTTAAATATGCCACCAATGAGTGTATTTGCCAAAATCCACGTGTAATCAGACCTTAATACTAGTTACAGTTGACTTCAGCGAACTACTATTCGCGAGTCCAACGAGTAAAAGTGTCGTCGCTGTAATCGTGCACACGCCATTTTAAGAAAATTTTCTGCAAGTCCCGTGCCGTGAAAATTATAAAGCAAGGTTCTTGTAAACAAAATAAAATATATTTTATTTCAAAGTGAATACAGAGTGATGTTTATATGTATGTATGTAGTGAAAGTCGTTATGTATGCTGTAGTACCACTGATGTATATATAAAATGCTATTCAAGTAATTTTCTCACTGCATAAATATTAGGACCATAGTAATATTAACATATATATGTACATATGTATGTTCATAACTTATATAAGAATGTATGAAAGCTATTAAGCACATTCATACAAAAATATGCATATGTACGTTTAAACGCTGAAAGCAATTAATATGCAAAGCATTTAACCAACATTGGTTAGAAGAAAAAAAACAAATAAATAAACATGTGGTAAAGAGTTGGACATGAAGCTCAATGAAATGAGGATCGAATAACCTGATATATTATGCGTATGTATGTAGAACTATATACATATGCAAGTACATATCTACATAAAAGTATATCTGCATATTCTATGTACATATACTTACGGCTATAAAACGGAAAATCTATGCAAATTTATTTATAGCACTATATTGCATATTAGAAACTCTGCACATACTTACATACGTACATATGTATGTACATTTGTAATGTAATGCATAGAGAACAAGGAAGTTGTTTGGTAAAATTGTTATCCATCGCCCATCACACAGCAACTTGTAGAGTTTTGACATACATATAAACAAGAATATATTGGATAGACATTTGCTTGAATGGTTGATTGCTTGGCTGGATGGATGGATGGATAGCTGGGATTGATAGGTACATATGTAGTTATGTATATAGTTAGACAGCTATGTAGATGTGTATTTGGACAGCTAGACAAGTATATAAACAATATGACAGCCAATTAGTGGTTGGTGCTTGTTGTTGTTCTTAAAGTAACGGCTAACGTTAAATGAGTTGCAAATAAAGTAATTGTTAATATATTTGCCACTAACAATTATTAATACCAGAAGTTTTAATTTTGACTTACTTCCTGGTCATCAGAAGATATGGTTTTTTAAAATTAGTTGTTTGAGGAACATATGTTTTTAAATGAGCTTGCCGTATTCAGAAGATTGGAAATTAAGTGTCTAGAATAATAGAGTTTTCGGTGCAAAATCAATCAAATAGATTTCTATCAGGACTGTGGCAAACATTGAAAGAGGCTCTTGTTGGTTTCTTAGAGGAACACACAGAGAAACGCATTAAAGTAAAGCCGACAAGTAAGATAATTATTATTATTACTTGTTCCAATATTTTTTTGTTTTATTGAATCTAATTTAATTTAACTTAATTTCAGTTCATTTAATTTCATATCGTTTCATTTCATTTCATTGTATTTAATTTTTTTATATTTTATTTTATTTTATTTTATTTTATTTTATTTTATTTTATTTTATTTTATTTTATTTTATTTTATTTTATTTTATTTTATTTTATTTTATTTTATTTTATTTTATTTTATTTTATTTTATTTTATTTTATTTTATTTTATTTTATTATATTATATTATATTATATTATATTATATTATATTATATTATATTTTATTTTATTTTACCTTTATTATTTTACTCCATTTAAATTTATTTTATTTTTCTTATGTTCTTTACATTAATTATTATTATTTTATTTAATTTTTAGCAAATATTTATATACATTTATATATATGTACTGAAGAAGTAAAATTAGAATTAGACCAGTTTAAATATCAAACAAATAAAATTCGAAAAAAATATTCAATTCAATTATAGCTAAGAAATTTTGCACTGTAGCTATGGCTTGAATGCATTTTCACCCATACGAATGTTATATATGTATGTATAAAAATGTATGTTCATAGATAATTGCAGTCTATAGTTTGTAAGCGTTTACGCCATTAAGCAACTTCAATAAGTAAACTTTTACGAATTTTATAGTTTAGCCTGCAGTCATAAAAATACATATATACATATTTACATAAAATGCTGATGTAGCTAGATAAAAATATACATACAAAGTACTTTTTTTTTTTTTGAAAATTATCTACCTACATACGTACATAAATAGATAAATAACGTATATGTATATTATATCTACATAAGTTTATAATGCATACGATTTTAATCTGAAAGCAAATTTTTTAAAGAAATGTAATAAAAAAAAAGTTATAACACACATTGCACATGTCCTTGCCCCAAGCGCAGAGACTAATGAATATTTATGTATTGAACTAATTTTTAATTTTGAAGCTTTAAGATATGAGAATATTAGCATAAGTCTATCAAAATTTAATTTCAATAATTTATTAACTAAAGGACATTTTCAGTTTCCTTTTGGCCTACCCTAATAATGATATGTACAAAGCTCACTAAGTAGAGAGAGTAGAGAGAGAGATGTACTTGTCAAGGCTTTTGCTTTTATTTTTTCTACTTTTTGGTCTTTTTAAATGCAATACTGTACATACATACATATATACAAATGTGTACATAAGTGCATTGCATACCATATATGGCTCCCTAAGTAAATGAACATAAATACAAAATATGAGTTTGTCCTCTTCTAATTGCAGTGCAGCTCTTATCAATTACACCTAAATGTCATAAATGTTATGCAAACATTTTAAAATACACACACACCTACATAAATATGTCTATATTGTATTTACATACTTCTTACGTACATTTGTAATTATTGTTGTTGTTTTATTTTTTTTTTAACCGTTATAGCGTTGTTAACAACACCGTTGCATTATGCCAATATTGAAAATAATAATAAAGATTAAATGAAAGAAAAAACAAGAAAAAATGTAAAATCGGAAAACAAGAACGTACATACATATTTATGTGTATGAAAGTAGAACAGTTTCAAATATTTATGTATATACGAAGACACGATACATAGTTGTATATAGAAAGAAATTAATTTTTTTATAAAAAAAAATCGTGATTAACTCACATGGAATTTCTTTCTCTCATTACGGTAAACCAAATAATGACATTTCGCATATTTTTATGGAATTCATCGGCAAGTCATGAGCACCGTTTCCGCCATGAGTAATTATAAATTTCGTTTACAGAAAATCGGAAGTGATGCATAGAAGCAGGAAGGTGCTTGAATTGCATTATTAATCGAACAACTATTTTCAGTTTCGAAATAAATAAATAGGCATATTAATTTCAGTAATAAATACAAATAAAAAAAATAAATGCACAAAGGAAAAGAAAATATTAAAAAATAGAAAAAATAAAAATAAAAAATAAGAACAACGGATAAATTAATATAAAACCTAATAAAAAAAAGATTAAAAAAATAAAATAATAAAATAATCTATAATAAAAGAAAATACAATAAAGAAATATAAATTAAACAAAAAATTATATAAAGTCAAATCAAATAAAACAAAAAAAATATTACATTAAAATAAGAAAAAAACAAAAACAATAGATTAAAATAAAATAAAAAATTCATAAAAAATAAGCTAAAATTGAATTCAATGAAATAATACGACTTAAGTAAAAAAATGAAAATAAAATAAACATAAGAAATATAAAATTAAATAACTTGGAAGAATAAAATACAATAAAATACAATAAATAAAAAAATATAATTAAAATGAAAAAAATAACAAAAATTAATTAAATAAAATGTAACATAAAAAATACAAAATAAAAGTGAATAATTAAATTTGATTGAATAACATAGAGCAAGTCATTATTTGAAATTTTTAATGTTTGCTATGTTGCCAATTTTCCATATAAAAAAATTAAAAATTTTAAAACTTTGACATTTTAATTTCTCAGCGGAATTATAAAGCCTTTTTAGGAAGTAACGTTTTACTATAATTTTATTAATAACAGAAAAATGTATGCATATATACTTTTTGCTCTCAGTATAAAAAAAAAATAATGCCACGTGTATATTATGAAAAATAAAAATAAAATTATAAACTAAT